ATGTGTTGTGGTTTGCCAGCAGCCAGCAGAGCTGGCAGCAGGTTCAGACAGTGAGGAGGTTGGGGAGGAACATGGGCCAGTCCTGGGGTCTGGGGAAGGCTCTGATGTGGGCTCTGCGTCAGAGGCAGAATGGGGGCCAGGGCTGTCTGACAGTTATCAGCTGCCTTCAGATCAGTGAGGCAGAGAAACAGCTGGAGACTGTTCCCACTGTGCGCATGCACAGAGTTGCCAGACGAAGGGAACAGCTAAGGAAAAAGGGTTGACTTGGGAGTAAGGTCACAGGTAGATGGTGAATGGCCCCTCCCATAGGGAATAAAAGAGGAGTGAAAGGGGAGGGGTGTTTGCAGGAGACAATTAGTTCATTCCTGCCTTCTTGCTAAGTATTGTGGAGTCTGAAAGATATTGGCCTGGCCACTCTCCAAGTCTGATAAAGGTCAGTAATTGTGAACTATCTTGAAAGACTGTGGGCCAGGACTTTGCTGGAGAGGAATTCACTGTAAATTAAATTAAAGGGGTATTAAATAAAAGCTGTTTCTTTCAAAATATGTTTTTTGAAAAAATGCGTAAACCAATGTTTATTAGTAATTTTAGAAAATCCGGGGTAAACATATATTAAGGTGAAGGATACTAGAAAAAAACAACCACATTGCTTCTATCCGGAAAGCCAGCAGATGCACTGAAGCTTGGCTAACATTCATCCGAAAATTACAGTACAGAAATGATACATCCGTGTTGTAAATAAAACAATTGAACCATATAAGCTGCCTTAGAGTGATTTATTCCCAGTGTGCACCTTCTAAGGGGCTGATCTTGCATCCCTATGCTACCTCCGCCATCTTTTCTATTAAGACCACCATTGTTATCCCTGAAGATCAGGGGTGGGTTCCTACCGGTTCAGACCAGTTCAGCCAAACTGGTACTAGTATGGCGGCCTGAGTCGCTGGAACCGGCAGCGACCCAGGCCTGCTACACCCCCAAACTGGTTCCCTGGTCTCTTCTTCCGTCACCAGCATGTTTCTGCGCATGCATAGAACAGTTTTCAGTCAACTGTGCATGCGCAGCAATGCATGGTGGGGGCATGCACAAGCAAACTGAGCAGCACGCACACAAAATGCCCTCCCAGTAGTAAACTGGTTAGGAACCCACCACTGCTGAAGATCTGTTCCAAAACTATTTGATGCATGTTTACCAATTAACACTCTTCCTCAGAAAATCTCTCTGTAGTTAAACTTCAGTTCATTCCAGGTTGAGGCCTCACGCAAAATAGGCCGTTCTCCACTTTTACTGTTTACTGCCGGAACGCTGTATGGTTGAGCGAGTGCTTTTTTTTATGTGGTTGATCGTAAACGTGGAGCTGTGACAATCTGGGCCTATTTGAAAAAGCAATTGGGATTTGTCTGAATAAGACATTTATCCTTCAAAGGACGAGGTGAGGGAATGGTGTCTGAGCAAAGGCTGGGGAGATCAATTCTTCTTAACCCCTGAGCTATCAATCCTTATTACATCTTCACAGGTTTCAAAAGGTATAAAGCCCTCATAACTAAAATGGAAACAACAAATCCATGGAATGAGACCGAAGGTGCTGGGAAGGACGCTGAGGATAACATGTTAATCACTGGCATACTTTCTTATTATTATTACTCAATGCGTTAGTGAGCAATTGAATGAATGAATTCCTAATAATGTGCAAGTTGCCTAGATTTATGTAACAGAGATGGATGGCTGTATAAATCAAAGGAATGAGTGAGTGAGTGAGTGAGTGAGTGAGTGAGTGAGTGAGTGAGTGAGTGAGTGAGCAAATGAATAAATT